GAACGTCACTCTATTGTTTCCTGGGAGCAGGTGGGTAGTTTCATTACAGCACTGTAACGGGGTTGTTCTGACAACGCAACAGGCTATGCATGCATGCAGGATTCTGAACAGAGCTACCACATTTCACGTACAGCCCAGCCCATAGGTAAGAGAGACCGAGGTTTGTGACGCAAATTGGAGCAATGCTGTCTCCTTTTCAGGTAGTACTCTGGCTTCCAGCCATACCACCTGCAATTGCAGTGTTGTTGGATCTCACAAGACAAACAGGCCTCTGATGCATTCAGATGGGAGCCCTCTAAGGGACACTTGAGTGCTGCAGAGAGTAGGGATGGTGACTCAATAGGTGGTTGTCATTCTTCTGCATCAGCCCTGAAACAAAGCTCCAGCATGGTGGTAGGGGCCACTGTGTTGCTTGAAGAGTTGTCTTTCAGATGAGACATAAAACCAAGCTCCTTATGGCCATTAAAGAGAGACTTGTAATACAATCAAGTCATTCAGTGCCCCCACCTACACCCCACTCATCAGTTTCCCTTCTCAACCTCAACTTCCTACCTTCTACTTCCCATATCTCCACTCCAACCGTAAATTGAAAACACCGATGCACACATGCTACTCCTAGGGTATTCTGCGGCAAAAAAATTTAAATGCACAGAATATTTTAAAATTCAGCAAAATTCTGCATACTTTATTTGTCAAAATTTATTTCAAAATATCTGCCTACAAGTATGCCTGTAACAATACTGACAACAAAAAAGATTCAGGAAATGTGTTTTTTTGACAAGTAGATTCCTTACTAAGCATATTAATACAGAACTTTAAGTAATAATTCATTTAATTTACAATTCAGAAACATATTTGCCACACCCCTCAAAAGCAGTGTAAAGGCTTGGGGGAGTCAGGGGTAGCGGTGGAGTTGAGAGAGAGGGAACTAATTGCTGAGAAGGAGCCTGGGAGTGAACCTGTAGGGCTGTTGGGTATGGATGGGAGAAGTATGGAACAGTTTTTTGGGGGGGAAGGGATTGTTAGGGAGTTGGGGAGCCTCCCCCATGCAGACCCTGGCTGACCCCTAGCCTCTCTCATTCAGTCAGGCACATCTGCCCCTGTCCCCATGTGTCCCTGCACTTCCACTCAGACAGCCCTACTCTCCTGTCCCCATGTATTCTGCCACCTCCCTCTCCTGTGGCCCTGCACCCAACCTGTCCTCATGTGGCCCTGCACCCAACCTGTCCTCATGTGGCCCTGCACCCCCATTCCTATTCAGCCCCTGCTCCAGTCTGCCCACCCACTAGCCCTTCTGAATCCCAATCTATGTGACCCCCCACTCTCAGGAGCCCCATATGCCCCACTCTGTCTGTCCACCCAAAACCCCATGGCTCCTCACTTGGCCCCCAGGGCAGGGCGCTGTGAGGAACGCAGCCTCTCATCCTCCCTATCGGCTGCTGACTGCTATAGCCGGTGAGCCAGCTGCCTCTGTTCTGGCACCACAGCAGCCCCTGGTGGAAGAAAGGCGTAACTGCGGTGCCTCTCCAGCAGAATGTATTTTCTGTGGAGAAAAAACAAAATTGGTGAATTTTGCATGTGCACAATGGGGCAGAATTCCCCCAGGAGTAACATCCATGCAGATTTCACTTCTTTAATTTCTACATACAAATAACCCGATTTACCTTGTAGGCTACCCCTCCACCTATCTCTTCCTAAGCATTACAGAAAAATATCGCTCACGGTCACCGTTTACAATGTAGCACCAGACCTCACTTATTTATGCCCACCAATAAAGCCAGGATAGAGCTATGATTTAACTGTATTAATCATCCAATGAAGTGGGTTTTAGCCCACGAAAGCTTATGCTCAAATACATTTGTTAGTCTCTAAGGTGCCACAAGTACTCCCCGTTCTTTTTACATTTCATTGTGTTTCCACAACCACTAGGTGGCACTGTTTACCAGTTTAATGGAGGGGAAACAATCGACTCATACATTAATATTCTCTCTATAGTAAAATTATAACAAGGTTCCTTTACAATCCCTGTTTTTAACTCCCTCTATAACATAGGCTAAGAAAAATGGTTTGTCCTGAAATTTAACTGCATTCTAAACATCAAGGAAATTTTTTCTGCAAATCTTGAAGAAAGTTGGTCAAGTATTTTTGAGTGATAGGTCACTAAAACAACAAAGACCTTGAATATGAGCCCACTCAATCATAGTTCCATAGCTAAGGCTGGGGGAGGGGGGACAGTGGAAATGAGGGAAGGTAGGTGGGGTGGGGGAAAGAGGGAATGGGGAAGGGGGTGGTATAGGGCAGGATAGGGACAGGGGACCTACCTAAGAGCTAGGCACATTACAGCCCTTGTTCTCCAGGGAGCACAAGGACTATTCTCTCTGGACTGCCCCAGAGGTGTACGGTGCCCCAAAGAGGGGTGAGGACAGGCACAGCAGTAGATCCATGCCAGCCTGCAAAGCAGGACAAGCACACAGGGAAGTGTGTAGCCCCTCAAAAAGGGACACAACAGAGGACATGCTTAGGGAGTTCCGAGAGGCATTTGGGGTCAAAAGCCCTAAAGAAAGGGGATTGTTCTCCAGTGCACTCTCTTCTATAAGGTTTTATAATCTCCTGATAAAATCAGATGCACAGTTCTGTCCCTGATATTTATAAAGGCTGTTCTTAGCGGGTCTGAGACTGGGGCCTGCTGTAACCCATGTGTGCTGCTCTGCTAGTGCAAAGGGGTAGTAAAGCCGGCAAACACATCCGCCTAAGAATTCCCCCTCCGTAGAGCATGGAGGGCATGACTGGAACATCTCTGCACTGGGGATATTCCCAGCTGCCAGACGAGTTCTGGAGCCTTCAGCAGCTGGGTTAGACCAGCCCTGAAGTGGTAGTAACTTATGTGGAGAGACAAATTGGCCCGTGCCCATCTTCAGTGTTAGAAAGCCATAAAAAAATTATATACCTCTCCTGCTCCCCTCACTCAGGTCTCGCATGGAGTGAGCTCTGTGCCTTTTTGTGTTTAGAGTAGTGTCTGTAGAACCTTGTGGATTTAATTTCTATTAACTTCTATAGGATTGTTCCCAATAAGGGACTATTCTATTATTATTTTGAGTTAACTGCCGTATGTAAAATCTTCCTTTTTATGTGGGAATCAACACATGTTGGGCAACATAACCTTACTAGCTGATAGAGTTCCCCACCACCCCAGAAGGACACAAGCATCAAACGTGTTCTTTCTAGGGCCAGGTCTACACTAACCCCCTAATTCGAACTAAGGTACGCAACTTCAGCTACGTGAATAACGTAGCTGAAGTTCGAAGTACCTTAGTTCGAACTTACCTCGGTCCACACGCGGCAGGCAGGCTCCCCCGTCGACTCCGCGGTACTCCTCTCGTCTAGCTGGAGTACCGCAGTCGACGGCGAGCACTTACGGGTTCGACTTATCGCGTCCAGACAAGACGCGATAAGTCGAACCCAGAAGTTCGATCGCTCGCCGCCGAACTACCGGGTAAGTGTAGACCTACCCTAGGTAATTTTGGGATATCATGGACAATAAACAAAAGAAATTAAAATCGCATGAAATATTGGGCATCTTGGTTTTGTACTTATGAGGCTGGTGAGTGCAGCTCTGGAAAGCACCAGATGAGCAGGGTGCATACAGCTGGTTGAAGGGGCTGAGGGTAAGCAGTTTCGAGCATATCATTTGGGCTTATCTGACCTCTGCTCTAAGAAGACAGCTGTTTGAAAACACAAACCCTTGTGACTGAAGGTAACTTTACAGATCAGCCAGCCTTCTCCCACCCTCATGGAAAACATTGGACGATATCCAAGATCCCAAATGGGACCACGTTCTGCTCTGGCATAGCAACTTGTCTTCAGACCCATCCTCTGGAGAAGGCAATGAAAGGGTGTTAGCTGAGGAAGTTCCTAAAATGAAGGTAAAAAGAGAGAGAATGAGACTGGAAACAGAGATGCCAATTGATATGTCCTCCTGGAAGAGGAGGGCTCAAGGCAGCAGGTCTATCCAAAAACCTCTTATCTCCTTCCACGAATAGACCGGTCATCACGAGAGTCCTGATTCTTGTCTCTCTCAGGAGAGTAATTCCATTGAAGTCAATGGAGCTGTTCACGTGTAAACGTTTATTAATAGAAAAACAAGATTAAATGATTAAACAGGTTTTTTAAAATCGATGGAATGTGGCATGTAAATACTTGTATTCTGGTGGGGCTTTGTAGCACATCAATCATCTCCAGACATCCAGCCTCCTTCGTTGTTTTAATCCAAGTCCTTGCTCTTGCAACTAGAGTTATGAAGTTAGAACTCCTGAAGCTGCAATGTGAAATTACAAATATTTAGCTTTGAAAACAGTCTGCAAAACAAGGGCACGTCTATTACAGGCATTTGGAGAATTTAAAGCACGCCTATATAGATATAGTTTAGTATTCTTCTAGAACAGGGGTGGGCAAACTACGGCCCGCGGGCCAGATCCCGCCTGCTAGCCATTTTAAGCCGGCCCTCGAGCTCTCGCTGGAAAGCAGAGTCGGGCCGCTCCACGCAGCTCCCGGAAGCCATGGCATGGCCCCCCTCCAGCTCCTATGCGCTCCAATGGTCCCGCTGTAATGGCCCCGTCTGGCACTCCAATGGGAGCTGCAGGGGCAGTGCCTGCAGATGGGACAGCATGCAGAGCTGCCTCGCCGCACCTCCGTGTAGGAACCAGAGAAGGGAAATGCCACTGCTTCCGGAAGCCGCTTGAGGTAAGCGCCACCCGGAGCCTGCACCCCTGAGCCTCTCCCCACACCCCAACCCCCTGCCCCAGCCCTGAAGCCCCCTCCCGCCCTCCAAACCCCTCAATTCCAGCCCGGAGCACCCTCCCGCCCTCCAAACCCCTCAATTCCAGCCCGGAGCACCCTCCTGCACCCCAAACCTCTCATCCCCAGCCCCACCCCAGAGTCCGCACCACTAGCCAGAACCTGGACCCCTTCTCACACCCCTACCCCAGCCCTGATCCCCTTCCCGCCCTCTGAAGCCCTCAATTCCAGCCCGGAGCACCCTCCTATACTCCAAACTCTTCATCCCCAGCCCCATTCCAGAGCCCGTGAATGGCATGGATCGGTGTGGAGATGGGGAAACTGCACAAAATGAGTGTAGCAAAGGAGTGGCTGCATTTGCTTTAGGTTAGATAAATACAAGGTATCGGAGTATTTATCTTTGTTTTATGGGCTTTGGATACTAAATATTTGATTGTGGTTTTTAATTTCCTTTCACATAAATCCAAACATTTCTTTTGTTTCTAAAAAGCATTTGGTGCTCTGAAAACGTCCCAGATTGACCGTCCTGCAGCTTGCAGTGCTCTGCTACATAACGCTTCCCCATACGGCATCAACCCTGAGCATCCTGCTCTGAAGGGATCACTCACCGTATAGAGAAAACCTTGAAAACATGACCCAAAAGGTTCATAAACCAGAAGGCACATGAAAAGAACCTCCAGCGTATTCTCTTTAAAACTCTCATGATTTCAGGGCCTTCCTCGTAATGCTGGAATGTTTGCAGTTGGGGATCCTGTAAACATACATTCTAGTTTGGAAAAAAAGTTTGTCTATTGTTTCAGGGAAATAATTTGATATGAAGAGTGGTGATCGTTAGAGCCCTGCGCGGATACAAAAATGTGGATCCACATCCACCAGAATCAACGTGCTTCCGATCCGCTAGCCGTCTTTTATGTGTATCCGCACCCGCAGCAGCAAGCCGTCTCACAAGGGCCGGGGGGGAGCGGAGACGAACGGGAGGCCAGAGTCTCAAGGAGAAAGGGCTGTGACGTTGCACCCCATAATGCTTTATAGAAATATGCTTATGAATGTAAATATGACATAACTGGAATATGCTTTATGCTAGATATGCCATGTTACATATCTTTGCAAAGGTTATGTTCTGTCGCATGTATTCATCCTATTCGTATGCATGTATCATTTTTATATCTGAAGTTATGAGCGTTGGCTCTATGCTTATATTTAAAGTGTTTGCTGTAGAAAGCACCTAAGACAGATTTGATCAGCATAGTGTGAAGGGGTTATTCAAGTAAATGGAAGTACTTGGCGAACAATGAACTTTGAGAGGTGCCAATCCACATCTGAGCTTTCCTGGGAATGTGGCTCAGCCCGTAAAGTTCTGAGTCATACATGGACATGTGACTTGCCCATGTGACTCCAAAACTCCGTCTTGCAGCTGGATTCTGCATAGGAGAGAAGAAGGGGTTTCCACCCAGAAGAGAGAGTCTATTTAAGCTCCTGGAAACCCCTCCATTTTGTCTTCAGCTGGCTCAAGAGATAGCCTCTCCACCCCCAAAGGATACCTGAAAGAAACTGGAACAAAGGACAGTAACCACAGGGGTGTGAGTGGTTGCTGGACCCAGACTAGAAGGAGGCTAGTCTGTAAAAGAAGCTTACTGGAACATCTCTGAGGGTGAGATTTCATCTGTAATCCCTTTCTTACTGTATTAGGCTTAGACATGAGTATTTTATTTTACTTGGTAATTCACTTTGTTCTGTCTGCTATTACTTGGAACCACTTAAATCCTACTTTCTGTATTTACTAAAATCACTTTTTACTTATTAATTAATCCAGAGTTTGTATTAATACCTGGGAGGGCAAACAGCTGTGCTTATCTCTCTATCAGTGTTATAGACAGCGAACAATTTATGAGTTTATCCTGTATAAACTTTATACAGGATAAAACAGATTTATTTGAGGTTTGGACTGGGAGTTGGGTACCTGAGTGTTGGGAGACAGAAACACTTCTTAAGCTGTTTTCAGATAAGCCTGCAGGTTTTGGCGGACATGGTTCAGACCTGGGTCTGTGTTTGTAGCACGCTAGCGTGTCTGGCTCAAACCAGGCAGGGCACTGAAGTCCCAAGCTGGCAGAGAAAACAGGCTCGGGGGTAGTCTCAGCACATCAGGTGGCAGTCCCCAAGGGGGTTTCTGTGATCCAACCCGTCACAGGGGCGTCGCATCGCGTGCTGCTCCTGCAGGCTCACGAACAACGGTAGCAGCAGTGCATGTTGCATCACAGCAGGGCAGAGGGGTGGGGCACCAGGGCCCTGCCCACTCCAATCTCTGCGGCCGGGGACAGGTCCCTCTGCCCAGGAGCCAGCGGGCTGGGAGCGTGGCCAGTGCGGCCAGGCCAGGCCATCATGGAGATGCTGGCGCTGCCCAAGGGGCCCAATCTGCTGCACAGGAAACAGTGAGGCGAGCAGGTACTGGACAGCCCTAATTCCAGTCTGCTGCCCAGCCACTGGCTACTGGCCCCGAGCGCGCTGCACCCCTCTGCCCCCCAGGCTCTCCAAGCCAGATGCCGCAGGCCAGGCACCGTCGGTGAGTAGAGCCCTGTGCGGTTGTGTCCGCATCCGATCCACTATCCGCAAAAATGATCCGCGGATGTGGATATGCAGGGCTCTAGTGATGGTAAGAAGTAACTTCATTCAGCATCTTTCCTTGGCTCGTTAAAACTGTCTCCTGATGTGATTCTCTTCTGCTTTTCAAATTCATGACATGCACTTAGTATTAGGAACTAAAATATGAGTGGAATTTACTGTCTAAGGGCCCAATCCCACAGTTCCCACAGAGCATACGTGTATGCTACTGGATGGTATGTCATACCTGCTTGTGTGCATGTGCCTATCACACTTTAGTGATTGAAAGTCCATGAAAGAGAGAAGTCCTAATACCACTGCAGGTCCTGTAGCTCAGATGGAAGAGGTTGGTTGGTTTGGTTTCATTGATGGCAAAGCTGACGAAGCTGTGTGTGTGTGTGGATTAGCTGATGACCTTGGGTCTGTGATTTGGGAGTGTGAATTCATTACACAAGGTGCCATGTCGTGAAAATTGTGGGACACTCCTAAAATATCCCTGTAGCTAGCGATCGCTAAATTGGTAAACCAATTACATGAAATTTTCCCAGAGGTGCCTTTAGATCAAATAACTAACCTGTGTTGGGAAACAGATTCAAGAAACTTGAAAGCATCTCTCCAGTTGTGTGATTTGAGTTGTGTTGGGGCTCAGTAAGATATTGGGTGGCAAATGTTCCTGTCTCAACAGTCAGTCAGTTATCTGGATCAAAGCATGCTCTTCCTCTTTCCTTTGATAACATTTAAGGACATTTGTTATTACAGAAAAACTCCTGTGTATTACCAGAGGATTTAAAGAATTTCTACCTAATGAGCGATGGCTTCCACATGACCTGGAGTGTGAAGTTTGATGGTAAGTCTGCCTGTTTCTTTCCTTTAGCTTAAAATCCTTTAGGTTAAAATGTCCGTTCTTTCTGTGCATTCCCTGTGGCAGCTACAGTCCCTTCCTCTTAATTTGATCGCTGCTTAACCGAATCCTCCATTTAGTTTGATCCACACCACAGAAGCGAAATTATTTTGAAGGAAAAATAACCACTATGCCCTTTGTTTTGCTGAGTTTAGCCAGCTGTTGTTGGATAATTCAATCACTGATGTAGAAAATTACCTTTTAATTAACAAGGAAGTCCAAAGTGCTGCGTGGAATCAAAAGTCCAGTGATGAGCACAACCTGAATTTCTGTGCATGATACATTGGGCTTAAGCCTGCGATCCAGGCACATGCAGGATTCCCATGTGGGAACCTTGTTTGCCGAGCGCTTGCTGGGATCAGATCTAGTTTTGATTACCTAAATGCCAGTATGTACTGTCCAAATCCAGTCATCAAATGGATGAGTGCATAAGTTTGACTTCAATCTGCAAATTTTGTCGTACTCAGCTCAGAGGGAACATCTGGTCCTCAGTTGGCTTCCTGCTTTTTACACTGATCTGCTTCTGTCAAGCCAGATGGAAATCAGAATGTGGTCAAGGAACTTTGCAGAGGTCACACAACACGCAGTAGCTGTGCCCGGGGGATGAGAGCCCTAGCTACCATTGTGATAGTGGGGCACTTTAACAATGAACAACATTTAAATGAAGGGCCTGATCCTACTCCCGTTGAGATCAGTGGAAGCTTTACCACAGACTTCTGTGCTAGCAGGTACAAACCCTGGGCCTCATTCTGATCTCACATCAGTTTAACTCCATTGACTTCAGTGGAGATACTCCAGTGCAAGTGATAGCAGAACTGGGTCCCCTTTCTTCCATCTGGGCCTAGCAGGAACAGGGAGACTCCTTCACTCTGAAGCAATCACCTGGCCACAGTTATCCAGGCCTTTGCCACCTCAAAGGCCGATCCCTGCAGGGCACTCTAGCTGGAGACTGCTAGCTTCAGCTGGTGCATGCAGAATGCACTGATCTCCTCATGAAATGGAGTTTCACATGACCCCAGTCCCCAGCATGTGCTCTGCCTGCTGGGTGGTTCAAGTGGAATTCAAGGTGTGGTGGCCCATAGAGCCCTGAATAGGTTTAACGCTTTATTACCTGACTAACCCTTCCCCTTGCCCTCTTCCAGACTGCTACAGCTGCAGTCAGCACCAAGGCCTAAGCTGAAGCTTCCTCACAACAAATGAGAGGCAGCAGCTGACTTGGTGATCTCTCTGAGGTGCGCGCAGCTTTGCTCCACCAGAGCCTACATCTGTCAAACTTGCAGGCCTGCTGCAATGCCCATTTCTATGTATTTTGGGAAAGGTTGGTGGTTGGACAAAAAGAAAAGACTTCCTCCGCTCTCCTGTCATTGGGGTGTCTTAATGATCACTCTTGTCACTGTGCATTGCAGATAACCCCATGCCACTGGGCTCCATGGTGATTAACGGCATCTCTAAGCTAAGTCGCCTTGGCGGATCATCGGCGTACGCCCTACCCAATGCACCCACCCTCGCTGACCTGGAAGATGATATGGATGAGGAAGGTATTATCCTCTTGATGGCACACATGATGGTACACCCAAGTGTCAGAATGTGCTTTTCCTCCTTCATTCTGCTGTATAGGGATACGCTGCATTTCTGCCTAACAGGCCAAGCTGCACTTTGCTAGCACAGGTAGAGAAGTCACAGGTCGCTTCTAACGAGACCCAACTTGTGCTGCTCCAGAGAAGGAATGAACTGGATACTTAGGGTCCACCAAGCATCATTAACACCACCTCCTCACCTGTGTTGTCTCCATACCTTTCCCAACCAAACTGCTCCCTATCCTTTGTTTTTCCCTGTCTTAAATTGTTAGCTGGGGCCTCCTCTTTTCATTCAGCTTGGAAAGAGCATGTACATTTACAATAGAATATCAACAACCACTGGCAATAATTGTTGTGGTGATGGATAGGCCCATTGGGTACACTGACTTTGAATGCAGCTTTTCAGAGCTGGAAATGTCACTGGAAAACACATTGAAACAAGAGGCAGCAGGGGAAAATGCATCTGGATGTGTTAGGCATTTGGCAAGTAAAAGGATCCATTCCCTTCCTCTACCAGCTTGCAGTCTAACGGGATGCAACAAGTGAGACAAACAGGACATGGTATAACGGTGGCTCTTTGCAGAAAAATAATAAAACTTACAAATTGCTATTTGATTTCTGTAGCTCTTGCTGCTTCCGAACCTGGCTGGTTTCTCTGCTTGTCAGGGAATCCTGCCCTTTAGCATATTAGAGATTTTGCCCAAATTCTGCTATAATCCTGATCCTCTTGCCACTGAAATCAAATGGGCCAGATTCTGCTCTCATTACCAACATGCAACTCCACTCAATTTGCCTGGCACATGCGAGAGCAGATTATGTCCCAAAAGGAGCTCTCCCTTTGACTTCAGTGGGGAGCTGCAGATCCTAACAATTTATATCGATTTTTTTATTGCAGGAAAAAATCCATTGTCCTTTCTAAACAGTGTATTTGTCTTGACTGATCCCAACTTACTTATGAGATTATCGTGAAAACCATAATACTTAATTGAGTTGGGGTTTTTTGTGAGGTTTTGGCTATTGTTGCTTTTTTAACATTTTACTAAATAAGCAGGGTTCTGTGTGGATAATTATAGCAAGGATTTTAAAACAGCTATTCCACAGTGATCCCGCTGAGCTATTATTTCCCTGTAAGCTG